AGGGAGCAGGGTGAGGGGAGCTGCGTGTTTGGGAGAGGGAGAGGGAGAGGGAGCAGGGTGAGGGGAGCTGCGTGTGCCTGTACGTGAAGGAGGGAATGATAGTGCAGTTCAGACTTCCCTTTTTTAGTCCTAACAAAAGGTCAAGCATTCCATTTGCCCACCCAAAGAAGCTGGTAGAGAGTCAAGGGCTGTGTCTTTCGAGATCATTTTGCCCCGTACAAGCGAGATTTGATGGGAGAGCGCCCTGGCGTCGCCTGGCACAGTCCCACGCGTCTTACAAGGTTTCACTGTGTCCAGCACAGCATTGGCAAAAATCAGATGTGTTCTTGGCCACTCATTCATCGCTGTTGCCCCGCCCATGCCCCCCTGCCACTCATTCCACACATGCGCTCTCATCACTAATGTGCCTTTCCCCAAAATTCTGCCAGCAGCTAGGGATCTGAATCCGCCAGGGTCCCAGATAGGTTCATATAGAGCCACCCGCGTGGGAACTTTAACATTTTGACTTTGCTGATTAAAAAGCAACCCTTTCAGTATGAGGCTTTGATCCATTGGTGTGTTCACATTGCATCTGTTGTCATGAAACCATAATCAATTTTAATTTGCCTTGAATCACAAAGGCCCCTGTGACAATGATTCCCCCCCCAATCATCTTTGATCTTTTGCTTGTGACACATTTTTTTTTTTTAAAAAAACAACTAACTGTTTTGCTCGCTGTTCTGTTTTGTCTGTTTCTTGCATTCTTACCCATAGACATCGCAGTCTGCAAGGAGCGTCTGAAAAGGTTAACAGTAGGAGGTAGGCAAGAGTTGGTGGTTTTGCTGTTCAGCCAGTTATATTTTCGTTGTTTTCAGCTTTCTAAAATGTGTTTTTGTTTGGATCAAGTGAGACTAGTCAGGGGTGGGGGGGCGGTGGGGAAGCAGCGAGGGCTTGGTTTAAAAATAACGTAGATGTTTGGACAATTCTTGAATCTGATTTCAAGATCATCTTCTGCCGTGTGAGCTAACCCAGGATTGATTCCCTAAAATACAGACAGCTGGGAGGGAGAACTTTATATGCACTGGAAATTGATCGTTTTTCTTTGATTTTTTTGTAGAATCCCTACAGTGCAGGTCGAGGTCTTTTGGCCCATCGAGTCTGCACTGAGTATCCCACTCTGTCTCTGTAACCCTGCATTTCCCATGGCTAACCCACCTAGTCTGCACGTCCCTGGACACTACAGGACAATTTAACAATGGTCAATCCACCCTAACCCAATTTGGAAGCAATTGCTAATCTCAATCGATTGTCATTGAAACCCATCCAGGGGGTCATGAATATCCTTTAGGGAAGGAAATAGTCATAGAGTTGTACAGCATGGAAACAGACCCTTCAGTCCAACTTGGCCATGCTGATCACATATCCTAAATTAATCTAGTCACATTTGCCAGCATTTGGCCCATATCCCTCTAAACCCTTCCTGTTTATGTACCCATCCAGGGGCCTTTTAAATGTTGTCATTGTTCCAGCCTCCTCCACTTCCTCTGGCAGCTTGTTTTATAGACGCACCACCCTCTGCGTGAAAAAGTTGCCCCTCAGGTCCCTTTTAAATCTTTCTCCTCACCTTAAACCCTCTAGTTTTGGACTCCCCTACCCTGAGAAAAAGGCTTTGGCTATTTACCCTATCCACACCCCTCATGCCCTTATAAACTTCTATAAGGTCACCCCTCAGCCTCCAACGTTCCAGGGCAAATAGTTCTAGCCTCTCCCGGTAGTTCAAACCCTCCAACCCCGGCAACGTCCTTGTAAATCTTTTCCAAACCTTTTCCAAGTTTCACAACATCCTTCCTATAGCAGGGAGACCAGAATTGAATGCAGTATTCCAAAAGTGGCCGAAGCAATGTCCTGTAAAAGCCGCAGCATGACCTCCCAACTCCCATGCTGAATGTACTGACCAATAAAGGCAAGCATGCCAAACATCGCCTTCTCCACCCTCCGACTCCACTTTCAAGGAACTATAAACCTGCACCTCAGGGTCTCTAAAATCTACTGTATCAGCCCTTCTCAGCTAGTCTGACCTCCATGTAACTGCAGGCCCCCCACCAGCAATGTTGCTAGCTCCTGGCTGCCCTCTGAATTGGGCCCAGAAATCCCACTACAGCTCACATCCAGTTAAAGGGTTACTGGCCCTCGGTCAAATCCCAAGAGTGAATATTTTCTCAAATGAGAAAAATGGCCGCAGTCCTGTCAAGAGTGTCGCGACGTCTCCGATCTATAAACTGGTTGTGCTCTGTATTTTGGAGATTCAAATTTTTTTTTTGTGACTGACATTGTTTGGTGTGTCAAAATGCATAACAGATGTGAGCTTGGGACTGCAATCAGAAGGCACTGTAACAAATACAGATTTAGCTCAGTGAGAGAGGGCAAGCCAAAACATTTGACTGTTTTTAGAGAGCCTTTGCGCTTTGATGCTGCAGTGATCCAACCTCTCTCGAATTGTAGTTGTACAAACTCTGACAGCCGGTTGCAAACCCTCTTTCCAGAAGTGTAATTTTAATGGCTCTCTCTTTTTGTGCTTCCAAGAATGCCTTCAGCACCTCAAATCCTCCTCCAGCTCCCAAAAGGGTTAAGTTTTTCTCTTGTTGTGTGACTCCGTCCCCTCTGGATCTCTTGTCTAGATCTGTTGCTGTATCTGTCTATCCATGCTGTGCTGTTCATCTGTGTCATATTGTGTATGTCGAGCTGAAAAGCATCTCATCCCCATATCCACGTAGTCAGCAAGACATGGAATGCAAATGGGGGAAGAGATTAGGGAACTGATCAGCCATCTGGTTGGTTGCCTTTTCTGGGCATAAGGCTACAAATGCATGTGTGTCCCAAATAGGGATTTTCAAACCAAAAAGTCAGCATTTCCACTGAATCTCGGTGTGATCGTGAAAACAGCAACGTATGTCATCGCAACTGCACCAGGGAACGTCAAAACGTCTGTTTCACAATTGTCAAAATAGTCCGTCAGCATCTTTTCCAAACTCCCAGAAGTCTTCAGAAAGCAAAAGCTCACGTGAAGAATGACCAGTTTTATGTTCCTTTCCCCTCCTGTGACACGAAAAGCAAAGCTTTGCATGCAGTCTACAGACTCGCCCAGGCCAGCTAAAGACTGCCCTCCACGCCCTCTGTTTAGACACTTGGAATCCAAGGTGGTGGCATTGAAGGAGCAGGCCAGATTAGTTGTCAAGCACCCTAACTATTGCACAGAGCTCCGGAAGTTAGCTGTACCAAAACTAGCCCTGATGACACCTCTGTTAATCTTTTTGTTTAATAATTGATCGTCCCAGTGAATTTCTCATTAAGTAGTTTCTTAATCTCAGTCATTAAGATGGTCCAGAGATGTCCAAGATTTTGTGTTCTCTCTCTCGCTCTCTCGCTCTCTCGCTCTCTCTCTCTCTCTCTCTCTCTCTCATGTTTTGTTTCTTCGTTCTCTGTTGAGTTTGCCAATTATGTCGTATCCATTTAGACTTCCCGTGTTGTGTTGCCCATCGGGCTGCAAAGCCGTGTAGCTGGCTTCAGGTTCCAAAACCTTAGCTGTCGTTGAGTGCGTCCAGTCGAGCCAGTTGCTTTTTCTCCCCCCTGCCCGTTGTCGTATCACGTTGATATGTGCACAATTTTCAATGACCAACCAGCTGGTTAGTGTGGGACTGGTCACGTCTGTCGAGCCCCGGTTCAGCTCTGAGCTGCGGCTTCAGTAGTATTTGAGACCCACGTCCGGGTGCAGATGCGGTGGGTGACCTTTAATTGATTTTCACTTTAAAACCAGCGGAGTGGAAAATTTGCCAGGTTTCTCGAGGATTTGAATTGAGCGGCTGCCTGACCAAGCACCTGCCTGGTGTGGGTGGCCTAATGCATTGCAATAGCTTGTTTAGAATTGGAGCCATGTTTATTTCTGTACAGCAAGCGCTGCATTGGCCCAGAAGTTGCAGAACAAACTGTTCTGTTAGTTGTAGGTGGAATAACAGAAAAGATCTAGTTTTTGAATGATGTCCGCCGTCCGCCCTGTGTTTACAGGGTTCTCTTCTTTTTTTTGTTTAAATCCCATACCCTCCCCAAATAGAAACTTTTACATAATGTTTGGATCGTAGGTGTTGCTCCTGTGAGGACGATTTGTTTAATTGAAATCGGGGTTCAGGGAGGTGAGGGGTCGAATCGTTGTAAATACATCACGAAATGCAGTCTGGATTTGGCCGAGTTACTGCACTAATCGCTGGGTTGCACGTGTCTGCTTGGCTCCAAACCATTCACCATTGAGCAAGGGCACTGAAAACAGAGCTTGCCGTGTATTTCCCTTGTGCATGTTTGGTGTGTTCGTCCGTCCGCTCTGCACAAGCTGGTTGTGCCCGTTTCTACTAGAGCGCGGGTGTTGCAGTAAAACTGATGTTGAGTGCTAAAAATTAACTTCTCCTGTTCTTTTTTGTCCCTCCTCACGCTCCTCTTTGTCTCCAATTGTGTACACTATATCCTTTTTCATTCCCCCATCTCCTTATGGTTCTTGCTCTTTTCTGCTCAAATCAAAATTGGCAAATTGGACATCCATTCTCTTTGTTCGATATCGTCTCTGGTCCCCTTTCTGTGTCCCTCGGTGTGTGGCTGCCTACACAATACTCTCTTTAAAATTCACGCTTATGGGATTGTTTTGTTTCTGTCGTGTTCCCACTTGCTTCTTTTCCCGACCTATCGATATCTCGCTGCACCAATCTGGTGTTGCCTCCATCCCCCCAACCCCTTCATCTGTCTCTTCCCATTTCACCCACTCGTGCTGTCTGTGCATTACGCTACCCCATTGGCGCTTTGCCCCCTCGTTGTCCGATCTCGTGGACACAATTGTGCAGCATTTTACGGCCTGGACGAGTCAGACCTGGACAAAGTCTTCCACTTGCCAACCACCACCTTCATCGGTGGCAACGAAACTGCCCTTCCTCTCCGGGAGATCATTCGGAGGATGGAGGTAGGTCTTAGGCAGGCGAGACCGGCGAAAGGTGCCCCCTTTTCAAAAGGGAAGACCGTTTTCGATTCAAACACTGGGAATGCTTGAGAATTCGTGGACAGAGAGAGAGAAAAACAGACTGAGCGTTTTGAGTCCTATTTGAATCTTCTTCGGAACTCTGATGAAGAGTCATAGCAGACCCGAGACATTAACTCTCCTTCTGTCTGCACAGACGCTGTCACGCTTGCTCTGGCAATTCTCGGTGTTTGTTTCGGATCTCCAGCATCCGCGATATTTCGCTGTTGATTCGTGAATTTTTTTTTTGGTTCTTGTTCTTTCTGAGACGCTGCAAACTTCGTTGATGGGAAAAGCCACTCCAATATTTGTATTGTACATTTTCTGGGTTTGAAATCTTTATTTGCGTGATTGCCCTTATAATTGATCCGAATGCCTCAGTTGGTCATTTTGGGAGACGGGCAAGAGGGGTGTTAAGAGTCCATCACGTAGCTGTGGGTCTGGAGTCACGTATAGGCCAGACTGGAGAAGGATGGCTTGCTTCCTTCTCAAAGATGTGTCCAGGGACATCGCCATGCCACCACTTCCCTGCATCTTTCATCCTCTGTTTGCATATTTGCAAGGTTTCTCCACTCAGCAGATGCAGTGTTCAGGCTGCTTGGGCATCCCAAACTGAGGCACTGCTCATCATAACAGGGGCACTGGCAGCTGAAGAATTGAGACACTGAAGGCCATCAATGTCAGCAGGCTCGTATTCAATGACGACCTCATGGCCCGCTGTATCCCCCACTCCACCATTGCCATCAAACCAGGGGATCAACCCTGAATCAACGGAGAGCGCAGGAGGGCATGCCAGGAGCATAGGACCATAGCTGAAGATGAGGTGCCAAGTTGGTGAAGCCACCAAACAGGACTACTTGCACACCAAACAGCAAGTGATAGAGCTAAGCAATCCCACAACTAACGGATCAGATCTAAGCTCTGCAGTCCTGCCACATCCAGACGTGAATGGTGGGGGACAATTAAACAACTCACTGGAGGAGGAGGAGGCTCCACAAATATCCCCATCCTCAATGATGGAAGAGCCCAGCACATCAGTGCAAAAGATGATTGCTGCGAACACTTCAGCCTTTTCAGCCAGAGGTGCCGAGTGGATGATTCATCTTGGCCTCCTCCAGTGGTCCCCAGCAATACAGATACCAGTCTCCAGTCAATTTGATTCACTCCACGTGATCTCAAGAAACGGTTGGAGGCACCAGATACTGCAAAGGCTATGGGGCCTGACAACATTTGGCAATAGAACTGAAGACTTGTGCTCCAGAACTTGCCGCACCCCTAGCCAAGCTGTTCCAGTACAGTTACAACACTAGTATCTACCTGGCAATATGGAAAATTGCCCAGGTATGTCTTGTACGTTAAAAGCAGGACAAATCCAACCCAGCCAATCAGTCCCAAACCCATCAGTCTACTCTTGATCAGCGCCTACTCAGCAATAACCTGCTCAATGACCCCCCCCCTGCCCGTTTTGGGTTCTGCCAGGGCCACTCAGCTCCTGACCTCATTACAGCCTTGGTTCAAACATGGACAAAAGAGCTGAATTCCAGAGGTGAGGTGAGAGTGACAGCCCTTGATATCAAGGCTGCATTCGATCGAGTGTGGCATCAAGGAGCCCTAGCCTAACTGAAAAAAAAGGGGATTGTGGGGGAAACTCTCCAGTAGTTAGTGTGGGAAGATGGTTTGTGGTTGTTGGAGGGCAGTCATCTCAGCTCCAGGAGTTCCTCAGAGTAGTGGCTGCTTCATCAATGACCATCCCTCCATCGTAAGGTCAGAAGTGGGGATGTTCGCCAATGATTGCACTATGTTCAGCTCCATTTGCAACTCCTCAGATACTGAACAATTCATGTTCAAATGCAACAAGATCTGTACAAATCCAGGTTTGGGCTGACAAGTGGCAAGTGACCTTTGTGCCACACAAATGCCAGGCAATGACAGTCTCCAATAAAAGAGTCTAACCAATTCTCCTTGAAATTCATTATCAACATCCTGGGGGTTAGCACTGACCAGAAACTGAACTGAACCAGCCCATGTAAACACAGTGGTTGCAAGAGCAGGTCAGAGGCTGGGAATCCTGCAGCGAGTAACTCCCCTTGTGACTCTTCTGTTACCTCTTCCCCACTCTCCCCCCCACCCAACCCCCAAAAGCATATCCACCATGGACAAGGCATAAGTTAGGAGTGCGACGGAATACTCCACACTTGCTAGGATGGGGAGAAGCTCTGAAAACACTTAAGCTTCACATCAGCCATTTTGTCAGCAACCTAACCACCGCCTTCAACGTTTGCTTCCTCCACCACCGACGCTCAGTAACAGCAGTGTGTACCATCTACAAGATGCACTGTAGCATCTCACCAAGGCCCCTGAGACAGCACCTTGCAAACCCATGACCCACTTTCATCCAGAAGGACAAGGGGCAGCAGGTACATGGGAACACCACCCCCTGCAAGTTCAACCCTCCGAGCCCCTCACCGTCCCCGACTTGGAAATATATCGGCCGTTCCTTCAGTGTTGCTGGGTCAGAATCCTGGAACTCCCTCCCTGAGGGCACTGTGTGGGGGTCTCTACATCACACAGACTGCAGCGGCTCACCCCCACCTTCTCAAGGGGGGCAAGTAGGGGGAATGGGGCAATAAATGCTGGTCCCAGCCAGCGACGCCCACATCCCATCGAAGAATACATTTTAAATTGTAGTAGTTACGTGTCACAGCCAATAAAGGTGCTGATCATTGCTTCATAATATTACCCTGGCAGTATTGGGCTAGTTCTTTTGACTGTGGCAAGTATGTCTGGACGTAATATTCCTGGTGAGCAGGAGGCTTGATACTAGGACATTGAGCAGCTTTCAGTGCGCGAATGGGGAGGAAAGAACTGCTATTTCATCTTTATTTTATCCCTCTTTGTGGCTTGTATTGCAACCTTCCCTTCCAATGTATGCTTGCAGCAGTCCATCATGTCACCCACACTGGGACCAGACTCCCAGTGAAGGGATAAATATCTTTATTGTGTCAAAATGAGGGTCTTGTGCATTCTTTTCGCACTCCCCGGAGTCTCTCGCTGCCGGGACGCTAACGCCATGGTGGATCGGCTTACTCTTTTTTTAAAAACCCACCTTGACTTTCCATTCTTGTTCCTTCCCCAGATGTCTTACTGCCAGCACATTGGAGTTGAGTTCATGTTCATCAACGACCTGGAGCAGTGTCAATGGATCAGGCAGAAGTTTGAGACCCCGAGCGCCATGCAGTTCACGAATGAAGAGAAACGCACCCTTTTGGCCAGGCTTGTCCGCTCCACCAGGTCGGTAACAGCAACAAATGGCGCACTCTGTAAAGATGGTGTACGTGCATTGATATGGTGCCTCCGGATTACCCGGAATTTTTCTGTAGCATTGTAATGTGTGAAGCGCTGCAGCTGATTTCCACAAGACAATGCAATTTGTGACCAAATTTTCTAGTATTGCGTGTTGCAACTGTTGACCCAGGGATTTATAAAACGTGGATGGCCCGCCTTTCCTTTGCCTGTCTTGTGAGGCTGCTATTCCTCATTGTGTGCGATGCAAAGAGTTTTTTTAAAAAAAAACAAAGCCACGTTGAGCGTTGTTGAGGGGGAAGGGACATTGCTGTTCCTCCTTTTTTCACCCCCATCTTGCACGTCAGGACACACACAGAATGCCAAATTTCAAAGGAAGCAACAATCTCTGCTGCACAACGAAGTCCAAAAGAAAAGACACAGTGCGTGGACATGTGCTCTGCTGGCAATCAACATTCCCTCTAATGTCTGCCAGTGCGAACGCATGGGCCAACGTACTCAGTTCCAGTTTCTCTACTTGCGAGTGCGTAGATACCTTGGAGTAGCACAGCATCTAGAGAAATTCAAGTGAATGTATTATGAACTATATGTGCCCATCAAGCATGCATGTGCCACAATGCATACCTGATAATCAGGAGCTTTCCACAAACAATGAACTCCAAACACACTCCACATTGTTCAGCAAGCGCTGTCCAATGGCGAATCCACTCACACACCCTTCTTCTCTGCGCATATCAATATTCCTGACTCCGGAAGTGAGTCTGGTCAACGTTCACCAGAATGCAGATCGAGAGCCCTTTATTACTGATCTACATTGGATCAGCTCAGATTTCCATTCTGATCAGAGGAGGGGCCAGGGTGTAGAAACAAAGCTTCTGCGCTGGATTGGTGAAATCCCTGTTCTAGAGAGAAGGGATTTTGAGTCACCACTGTAACCCAGTCTTTGAGTTTAGGGACTATTCACAATGATTGTTGCAGTATCTGGAGTAAAGCATTATAACCATATCAATTTCCTTAACCATCAGTTCATAATTATTATAAAGTAGAAGCACTGAACATTAGTGGTGCAGAAAACAGCAACTTGGTCTGTTAGCAGCAGCTGAATAGACCAGCTTCCAGCATTAGCCCTTCAGGTTCCAGCACTTGTGAAATGATTTGCAGGTTGCTGATCTGTGCCATCATCTCATTGGATCCCGGTCTCCCTTCTGATCCTTCTGCCGATAGCGCTGAGCTCTCTGCTGACAGGAATAACCTGTTCTCATCCATTCTATCCAGGCACCCCCTTTCCCAACTCACGCGCGCACACACTCTCTCACAATGCTGTACATCTCAATTGAATCCCCCTTGACTTCTGTTCCAAGGAGAACCCCTCCCGCCCATCCAGTCTACCCGTTGTGGGCAACTGCATTCTCTCTGTCATGAGGTGACTGGAGCTGCACACAGTTCCCTCCCACGCTCCCATTCCCACTACCTTCCACAAAAAAAACTTCCCTGCCCTCATGTTCTACACCTCAACAAACGGAGGAAAGCTGCCTTAACCATCTCATTGAGCTGTCCTGCCACCTTCAGGGATCTGTTAGCATTCACCCACAGGATGCCCCACTTCCTCTGTGTTCTCCCAAAATCATTTGCCTTGGTTTGATTTTTTTTTTTATAAAAAAAATTTGTTCATGGGACGTGGATGTCGCTTGCCAGGCCAGCATTTATTGCCCATTGCTAATTGCCCAGAGGGCTGTTCAGACGCAAGCACATTGCTGTGGGTTTGGAGTCACGTGTAGGCCAGCCCATGTAAGGACGGCAGTTTCCTGACCATCGACAATGGATTCATGGTCATCATTAGACTCTTCAGATTTGTTTTCAAGTCAATCCCACCACAGCAGATGGTGGAATTTTGAACCCAGGTCCCCAGAACATCTATCTGGGTCTCGGGGTTAACCGTCCAGGATTAATACCTCTCGGCTATCGTCTCCCCATATCTACCCAAATGCAAAATCTCGCTCTTAATTGGTGCACATTACAGTGGTACCAGGAGGAGTGAGTGGAGATGATCCACAGGTTTTTGTCCATGTGGATATGTCAGGGCTACAAGTGTGTGAGTGTTACAATTGGTCGAGTCGCTCCTGCTTGGCTTTTATGTGGTTTCACGAAGCCAGATTGCGCTGGAATTGATTAACGCTTTGCTCCCGGTTTAGGATTCAAGAGTTTGTAAGACTTGTGCCTCATTTTCTCTTGCGTTTTGCTGCCAGGTTTGAGGAGTTTCTGCAGAGGAAGTGGTCATCTGAGAAGCGCTTTGGTCTGGAAGGCTGTGAGGTGCTGATCCCAGCACTGAAGACCATCATCGACAAGTCGAGTGAGAATGGCGTGGACAATGTTATCATGGGCATGCCTCACAGGTAATGCTACAGGCTGGCTGGCAAGAACTTCCTGTTTCCTTTTCCCCTCTGCTACCTCCAGCTCATTGGGCACACAAGCCATCGCCGAGCTGTAGATGGGCAAAGAACCAGTTGTGTATGGTTTCTTCACTTTGGGAATTGTGACCGTCCCTACATAAGGTGCAGAGGGCAAACAGCACAGAAACCAGGCATTCGGTCCAGCCAGTCCTCTGCCCAAGCCTCCTTCACCCCCTTCTTTGAACCCACCACTCTAACCCCTATCCCCCTCCTCTCCCTCATGTACTTGTCTCTCTTCCTCTCAAATACATCAATACGATTCACTTCAGCCAATGGGAGTCAGTTCCACGTTCTGCTCCAGGGACTGGGGTTCCTTCAGGAATTCTCATAGAATCTCTACAGTGTGGAAACAGACCCTTTGGCCCAACGAGTCCACACCGACCCTCCGAGCACCCCAACCCACCACCCTATAACCCACCTGGACACTATGGGGCAATTTAGCATGGCCAATGCACCTAGCCTGCATACCTTTGGACTATGGGAGGAAACCAGAGCACCTGGCGGAAATCCACGTGTGTAAACTCCACATGGACAGTCCCCCCAGGGTGGAATCGAACCCGGGTTCCTGGCGCTGTGAGGCAGCAGTGCTAACCACTGAGCCACCGTGCCGCCCAATTCCCAATGGGATTTCTGAAGTTGATAGCTTCTGGTTCTGCTTTTCCTCAATAAGAGGTAATATTCTTTCTTGTATCCACTCCATTGCAAACCTTTCAGAATTTTAAACACCTCTATTAGATCACCCCTCAGTCTTCATTTTCCAGTCCGTCAATCCTCTCCCAATATCCATACTGTCACGTTGCTGATATTATCCTTCTACATCTCTGCATCCTCTCCACTATTTCTTTATCCTTTTAGTGTAATGGGGCAACCAGATCTGCACACGGTATCTAAATGCAGTCTGAGCAAGATTTGATGCTTATTAACATAACCTCCTGAGTTCTCAGTCTGTCCATCCAAAAATGAAGCCTCATGCTGCGCTTGCTCTTCTATTAATATGAGGTGCAACGTCTTAGTGATTGATGTGTTTGTTTCTCTTGTTGTTTTTTCTGTACCCTACCTAGACTAAAGCCTCTAAATAATCGTGACCTTCCCAGCAAAATGGGCAACCTTGCATTTATCTCTTTCGCAAGTCATTGACTAAATATTTGTCCAATTTGCAAATTTCCATGTCCTCCTGTGAGTTTGTGGCATGTCTCCCTGGTATCTGTTAATGATAGTTGCACTGTTCAGTCATTGTCATCTTAATCACAGACATAATACTACTTCTTGGGGAATTGGCAAATATACACTCAGCTTCCTGTTCATCTGCGCACTTAATATTTGAATATGGGTGTGCCCTAACTGCATTTTTTTTAAAAAATAAAACCAACAAGATCTATGTTCTCTTATTGATTTTGCACAGTAATACTCTGTGAAAGATGCAAACTGGCTCAACAGCTTGTTATAGGCCAGACCAGACCCTCAGAACATATTAAGAAAGTAGCCTAGGCCCTAACTTTACTTTACTTTTATTTTCAAGGTAAATGTGAGGTGCTGTGTTCCAGATGCAAAACAGTTTATTCCAACATTCTGGTTAAAATACAACAAAAGAAAGAGGAACTTGGAATAACTTAACTTTATTGGAAAATTTAACGAAACAGTAGAACAGTAGCTATTAACTGTTCCAGTATAGTAACATCCCATAAATGCACCCTGTGGCAAATTCAAAAACAGATTTTTGTTTCGCATACAATCCAGCAGCCTAGGAAGAAAGCGCCCAGCTTTTGATTGTATTCAAGAGAGGGGAAGAAAAGCTTCCATTTCTTGAAGACCCCAACATCAACTGCTGAAAGCTAAAACTGAAAACTCAAAATCCGTGAGAGGGAGCTTGACCACACCCGTTCAGGCTGCTTCTACTGTTGCAGCTTCAAAAAAAAACACCGCAAGGCTTCACCAGGTGTTTATCTTCTCATAGACTGCTCGGTGCCTGTCTCCCAATCTCTGTCTCTAAAAGTAAGAGAAAGTAGCACCAGCTGAGAGTGCCAAGTGCAAGTACGTTATTCAGACTGTTCAACAGCAAAGAAATGTATAACTAATGTGGCTTTGTAAGTAATTCAGATCGCCCAGCTCCCTGTGAATTGGGGATATCATAGAACTTGACAGTACAAAAGAAGGCTGTACCAGCTCCTGAAAGAACTCCCCAGCTAGTCCCGCTCTCCGGCCCTATCTCCGTAGCCCTCTGAATGCATCCCTTTTCAAATATATATCCAGCTCTTGTGAACCTCCAGTGGAATCCACCTTCACCAGTCTCCCAGGCAGCGCATTCCAAATCCCAACAACTCTCCGAGGAAAGACCTTTCTCCTCACCTCACTTATTATGGTGTGTTACTTCTCCGTGGCAAGCTTTCCACCGTGATAATTCTGCATTTTTCTCAGCGGTGGAAGTGGCCAGACCTAGATTTAGAAAGTGGAACAGAATCAGATGTTAAAGTGCCATCAGAAAGCAACTGGGACCAGTTGGGATTATGGCGACAATCAGTTCGGGGCGAGAGAGAGAGAGAATAGCCTGCTGAAGCTGTGTTTGATTTAAGTGTGATGTTTGTATTTAAATTGAGTGGCTAGCCTTCCTACAATCTCTCCCCTTTAGAACTCGAGAACAGGTAAAGTGTAATTATTTAACTGGGTAACCCCTTATACCGCACCATCTACCTCTGGGATGTTAGATCGTGATGCAGGTTACTCGACAGTTTAAAATGAAGTTGGCATTTCTTGTTTCTCAGTGGTCGCTGAGCACTGTTGTGGTATTTTAAGGAAACCTACATGATTAAGGAGAGCTTGATAAACTCCTGTCTGTTCGAGCAGTGGCCCTGAGGAGTGGTGTGTGGTCGAAGGATGCTCTTAGCAACAGTGCAGCGAGAGGCAGTGAAAGAACACAGTGTCTGAAATAGCAGGAAGTGGCCCTGGAGGTCAAGGGGATAAACCATGACGCTGGGGCCTCTCGGCCTAATGCCGAGCGTTCTGACCTGCTTGGTGGACGCTATTTCGCAAGCCTCAGGCTGTCTGAGAAGCACTGACTTCGGGCATTTACTGATGGCAAGCCCTTGTCTGCTGATTGCTTCCCTTCTCTACATGCCGTAAGCATCCGATTTTTATTTTAGCGTGTCTTTCCCTTCTGCACAGGGGCCGTCTGAACGTGCTGGCTAATGTCATCAGGAAGGAACTGGAGCAGATATTTTGTCAGTTCGACTCAAAGTTGGAAGCTGCGGATGAGGTGAGTGTGTCCAACCTTGCACAGAGTCAGGAGGTTGGAAGGGGAGTGGATGACATTTCTGAGCAGTTTTTTTACATTTATGTTATGAACACAGCCCAGTACATCACGCAAGCCAACCTTCCGTCCATTGACTCCATCTACAATTCTCGCTGCCACAGGAAGGCAGCCAATATCATCAAAGACCCCTCCCCCACCCAGTTATAATCTCTTCCAACATCTTCCGTCAGGCAGAAGATACAAAAGCTTTAACACATGTACCAACAGGCTCAAGAACAGCTTCGTCCCTGCTGTTGTTAGACTTCTCAATGGACCTCTCAAGCTTTAAATTTAAATGTTGATCTGGCTGTTTCTCTGCAACTGTGATGTGGTATTCCTTGCTCTGATCTATCTCCCTAATGCACTTGCATGGTCTGATATGCCCATACTGCGCACACAAAACAAAACGTTTCACTGTACCTAGGTACATGCGATAAAAGTCAAATCAATTATTGTCTGTGTTTAACGGTATGCATCAAAGCTTTACGTTGCCTGCACATCACCCGACTCTGCGAAATTCTGTATCGGCAGGGCACCGGTGATGTGAAATACCATCTAGGGATGTACCACCGGCGTATTAATCGTGTAACAAACCGGAACATCACTCTCTCTCTGGTGGCGAACCCCTCTCACTTGGAGGCCGTCGACCCTGTCGTACAAGGCAAGACCAAAGCCGAACAGTTTTACCTTAGTGACACTGAAGGCAAGAAGGTGAGTTATCGGCTTGTTTTTCTACACATCGTGGGTTTCCCCCGAACAAACCGTTCTTTGAGAGCAGCCTGGTAAAGCAGGAGGGGACGAAGATATCCCACCAGTACGATGCAAATGCTCTTTCGAGGAACCTTTCCTATAGCACTCCCCTGCAAGAGTTTGGGATGTGTTGCGTGACGTACTCTGACACGTTGGTCTTTCTCCCCCCTCCTGCCACCCGAATCTCTCTAACCTTTCCTCTCTACACTGTCTTAAAGATGACTATCATTTACGTGGCGTTTCAGATTGTGGTGGCGGGGCGGGGAGCGGTGTCACAATTTTAACATCCCTGTTCTTGTCATCCCGAGCGTAGGCTGACGTTCTGAGGAAACCGGTTCGATTCCCACCCCCCACTTACTGCTGGGCCTACTAGGGGTGTTTCCGTCACTTTGCTGTGGGTCTGGAGTCACGTGTAGTAGGCCCTGACTGAGTAAGGGCGGCAGAGTTCCTTGCGAAGGACGTCCGTGAACCAGCTGGGCTTTTACGACAGTCAGTCGATTGTCAGAGGCTGAGGGGGTGACCTTTATAGAGGTTTATAAAATCATGAGGGGACATAGATAGGGTGAATAGACAAGGTCTTTTCCCCCAGAGTAGGGGAGCCCAGAAGTAGAGGGGCATAGGTTTAAGGTGAGACGGTAAAGATTTAAAAAGGGACCTGACGGGGGCGACTTTTTCACACAGGGCAGTGCGTTAATGGAACAAGCTGCCAGAGGAAGTGGTGGAGGCTGGTACAATTCCAACATTTTAAGAGGCATCTGGATGGGTACATGGATAGGAAGGGTTTAGAGGGAAATGGGCCAAATGCTGGCAAGTGGGACTAGGTCAGATTGGAGTGTCTGGTCAACATGGACGTGTTGGACCGAAGAGTTGTCCAACACAGAAACAGACCCTATAACTCTATGAACTTGAATCCTTCTAATGTTACTGGGCTTCAAACCCCACAGGACGGGGTTTATAGTTTTGCAGTTCCAACTATCATTGGCTGAGGCATCAAGGCACACAGAAGAATGCCAAATTTCAAACTGTCCCAGCAATTTCTACTGCAGGAGAAACTCCTCCCACTTTTGTAGCATCTTTTGACATCCTGTGCCATTTCTGTGCACAGTCCAGTGAAATGATGGGAGCATTGTCGTACAGTCGCTCCCATTTGCTTAACTTTTTGCGGTGAAGATTAAGTTCCAAGATTTCGGGGAGGTCATTCTGTTTGTGATGAAAATCTGGCACGTGGGATGTTCATGGGCTAAATCTTGACCAGTATTTATTTTTTTTTTGGCTTTTTGCAGGTCATGTCCATTCTTTTGCACGGCGATGCTGCGTTTGCGGGACAGGGAATAGTCTACGAAACCTTCCATCTCAGTGACCTGCCTTCATACACCACCCACGGGACAATCCACGTGGTGGTCAATAACCAGGTACAGTGACCTTGAGGAACTGTGAGTTATATACTTTCACTCCCCAGCATGGTGACGACAAGTTGGTTGTCTGACACCGCCCCCCCCCCACGTCAGAAACGAGACCTGGTTTCTCACGTGAAAACGGGGTCCTGTCACAATTCAACCGGGCAAGTGCTTGAAAGTGTCTCAGTTGGACTGTGTTGCTGAAGTGTCCCAGTAAAGGAGACGGTGTCTGAAAGATTAAATCTTTGGACTCTGCATAACCTCCTGCCTCGGCAAGTCTTTACTCTGTCGCGCAACTCCTCCCGCCCGCCCCCAGGGCTTCCTCCTGGATAGAGGAAGAGTCTCCATGAAGACAGGGACAAATTCTGTTTAACTCGAGCTTGTTCTCGGAACCAGCTGCTGTCCTCTGAGATGATCTCTTCGGCGCCCAGAAGCGGTGAACCTGGGTTCAAGTTGCGGGGGAGGTACACCACTAGCTCAGACCTGTGCCCTATCGCTGTGGTTTCTGTGGCAGCAGACGGGCAGGGTATAGGGGGCAAAGTTAGCTGTGAGGGCCCTTTGTTCCCAGAGAGACATTGAAACAACAGCTCTGATCCTTTCTCATTAGAATGTGTACCACCAGTGCTCGCTTGCAAAATCAAACCAATGCATCCACTGCTAGATGAGATTGGATCGGTTGGCAGCGCTTGCCGAACAGTCTTGAATGCGCTCATAGCTGCATTGGCAATCAGTTGAGCCTGTAATGTGGCTCCTTTATTCTTGAAGCAATATATGTTAACGTGGCAGGGCCCCATTCCCTGCAAGCAAAAGGGATAAGTTCAAGAGTGACACCTCTTTCTGAATTATCCAGGACCGAGGCGAGCCTGGGTGTTATCTCCGTGACAATGCCTCGGCCAATCAGCACCCTTTCCTCCAGGAGTATAAATTGTTGTGATTGATCAGTTTGAAATTTGGCACTCTTGCCTGGTGTCCTGAGGAGCGCAAGATGAACAGCTCCAGTAACACTGCTTTCTTTCCATTGATAGATTAGAGGCAGAGAAAGGGGGTGGCCATTTGGCCTGTCGTATTCGTGCCTAGCTCCATTTATGTGCCTCGGAGCCCTGCGATAGTCTTCGCTTCAGATAACAGTCCCCATTGTAAGCCTCGGTTGGCATATAGCGGGCTGAGATTGTGACCTTGGTAACGTAGGCATTGCCAGGCAGTCAATTCTGCCCCTCATTCTCTCACCAGATCGGGTTCACGACCGATCCCCGGGTGGCCCGCTCCTCTCCATACCCGACGGACGTGGCCCGCGTTGTCAATGCCCCCATCTTCCATGTGAATGGCGATGATCCCGAGGCGGTGATGTATGTGTGTAACGTGGCTGCAGAGTGGAGGAGCACTTTCCACAAGGATGTGGTGGTGGATTTGGTAGGTGGCTCCACCGGGTTCAAGGGCAGCTCGTGTGGTTGCCTGTGTTTTTCTGCTTTCTGAAATGCACGGGGGGTCTCTGGGCGTAATCACACACCGAATGCATCCCCCCCCGCCCTCCACCGATGTGGGGTGGGGTAGAGGCTCTTTGGTGGATCCCATCCAACAAACCCCACTGACAGGGATCCCATAGAATACACCCTCTGCTCTCCGTTTCTTTAGCAACGTCAGGAAATTCGTCTTCAACCCACTCTGTCATAGAGTCATTCAGCACGGAAACAGACCCTTCGATCTAACCGTAATCCCAAACTAAACTAGTCCCACCTGCCTGCGCCTGGCCCATATCCCTCCAAACCTTTCCTATTCATGTACTTATCTAAATGCTTTTCAAACGGTGTACCGCATCCACCACTTCCTCTGGAAGTTCATTCCGTGCATGAACCACTGTTCTTTCAAAAAAAAAATTGCCTCTCATGTCTTTTAAATCTTTCTCCTCTCGTCTTAAAAGTATGCCGCCTCGTCTTGAAATCACCCCACCCTAGGAAAAAGACATCTGGTATTCACTTTACCTATGTCCCTCACAATTTTATAACCCTCTATAAGGTTGTCTCTCAACCTCCTACCCTTCAGCGAAAAAAGAAGCCACAGCCTCTCTTTATAACTCAAACCCTCCATTCCTGGCAACATCCTAGTAAATCTTTTCTGAACCCTCTCCAGCTTAATAATATCCATCTTATAACTGTGCAGCCAGAACCGGACACAGTACTCCAGAAGAGGCAGAGTGGGCACGTAAGAAATAGATGCAGGAGTGGTCCATTCGGCCCCTCATGTCTGCTGCACCATTTGATACAGTCACGGCTGACCTTGAGCTTCTAACTCCACTCTCCAGCCTGCTCCCTGCTTCCCCCCCCCACCACCGCTGCCGCCACCACCACCACACCCTCACTTCTAGAGAGGTGGTTCCCCCTTGTGGGAGAGTCTAGGACCAGAGGGTGTAATCTCAGAATAAGGGGTCACCCATTGAAGACAGGGCTGAGGAGGAATTTCTTCTCTTCGAGGAGAGTGAATCTGTGGAATTCTTTACTGCAGAGGGCTGTCAAGTTTGCGTCATTAAAGCAGAGAGGGACAGATTTTTTAATGAGGAAGGGGATTTGAGCGTTATGGGCAAAAAGAAGCAAAGTCGGATTTAAGGATGATCAGATCAACCATTGAAGGGCAGAGCAGACTCAATGGGCTGAATGGCCTACTTCTGTTTGAAATGTCGTGGTCATAAAACCACATTTTAAGTGAAAAGTATTTTAAGTGAAATAACCTCTCCACATCTCCTCCTGTCAAGTCCCTCAAAAAATCCTGTATGTTTCACTAAGGTCGCCTCTCATTCCTCTAAATGAATACAGGGCCCGACCTACTCAACCTCTCCTCGTAAGACAGTCCCTCCGTACCCGGGATCAGCCGAGTGAACCTACTCTGAGCTGCCTCCGATGGCCAGTCTATCTTTCCTTAGATATGGGGCCCCATTCACAGTATTTGAGCTGTGGTCTCACTAGTGCATTGTACAGTTTTGGCAAAACCTCCCTGTTTTTATACTCCATTCCCTTTGAAATAAAGGCTAACATTCCATCTGATTCCCTATTCCCCTCTGATCTTGGACGCTGGCTTTTTATGATTCATAGACGAGGACTCCCAAATTCAGCTTCAGCTTTCTGCAGTCTTTCTCCGTTTAAATAGTACTCCGCTTTAGTTGTCTTCCTGCCAAAGTAAATGAACTCTCATCTGCCCACATTCTATTCCATCCGCCAAGTATTTGCCCAGAAGGGCACAAGGAGGGAGAACATCAGTGTCCCACAAGCAGAGGTCTAACAAACCAGCAACTGAAGGAGTGTTGTTTTCGACTGTCCTTAACGGGGTCGGTCTGAGCCCGCTCTCTCTTTCCAGGTCTGTTATCGACGCAATGGCCACAACGAGATGGACGAGCCAATGTTCACGCAGCCCCTGATGTACAAGCAGATCAAGAAACAGAAGGCCGTGCTGAAGAAGTACGCAGAGAAGCTCATCGTTGAGGGAGTGGTGACTCAACAAGAGTTTGAGGTTTGGAGAACTTTTCAGTTTCCTCTCGAATGTTGATTCCTACAGGAGCACAGTCACATGACACCCTGGACTCCTCATCCAGCTCCCATCCCCCGTACATTTATTTCCATCCATCCGATTTTCTTCTGTAATCCTTCATTGTCTCTGCTTCCACTGTCCCAATGAACAGCGAGTTCCTGCTCGCTGCAGCTAAAATGTTCCTCCTCTCACATCCACTGCCCTGAAGTCCCTGCCCAAATCCTTCAATCTGTGCTCACCCCACCACATCCCTTGTTGAAGAGATTGGCTTCTCTTTGTCTACCTTATCTAAACTTCTCGTAATCTTGTATCACGACCCCTCTCCAAATCTCCTTTCCTTCAAGGAGGACAGTCCCAGCTTCTACAATCTAACCCAGTCACTAAAATCCCTGGGACTGTTCCGGTTAATCTTCCTCCACACCCTCGCGCCTTTGCTAAAATGTGGTGGGGTCTAGAGCTGCTTGCAGCTTCTGCCAAATCCTGACCGACCAGGTTGCCTGAGGTCATCTCTGGTGGATTGAGGAAAGAGGTAGACATTTTGAGGGACCCTTGCAGAAGAATTGTGACAGAGACAGAGAAACTGGGAGCATGGAGTGGAGTCTTTACAGGAAGCAGGGTTTGAGGATGTACAGTTCAGGTAACAGTGGGAGTTGCCAGGGTTTGTAGTATATATCGGTGGCCAGCCTATCCCCAGAAATAGGAACAGTTGTCAAGGGAACAGCAGCTAAGTGGTTAGCGCTGCTGCCTCACAATGCCAGGGACCAAGGGACCAAGGTTCCAATCAACTCTCGGGCAACTGTCTGTGTGGAGATCTCCCCCATGCCTGTGCAGGTTAGGGTGGATTGGCTATGCTAAGTTGCCCGTAGTGTCCAGGGATGTTCAGGCTGGGTGGGTTAGCCCTGGGAAATACAAGGTTACAAAGAGTGGGAGTGGGTCTGGGTGGGATGCTCTTCAGAGAGCCGGTGTAGGCTTGATGGGCCAAATGGCCTGCCTGCACACTGTAGACATTCCCTGATTCTGTGAAAGCAAGGGAGGAGTTAGAGATGGACCAGGTGAAGCAGAGAGTAACGAGAAAATCAGAAGCGAAATTGAGGAACTTTTCCTAATTCCAGGCGAGAGAGAGAGGCAGCATCGATGATATCATCGATGTACCGAAAAAAGAGAGTGTGGGCAGTGACCCCAGTCAGACTGGAACAAGGAATGTTCCACAGACTCTACAAAGAGAAGGGCAAAACTGGGGGCCTCAGGGGTAACCCTTTGATCTGAAGAAAGAGAGAGGAGCTTAAGGAGAAGGTGTTCAAAAATATGCGCCTTCGTTCTTGTTTCCTCTACGAGGTGGAAACAGCTTCCCCCTGTGAGCCTGCTCACGGTTTTGGAACATTCTATCAAATCTCCTCTTGCCGTCCTTTCTGAGGAGATCAGTCCCAACTTCTGATCTATTCTCATCCCTGAGGATTCTCCTTCCTGGAACTGTTGTTGCGAATGGTTGGTCCTGGAGCCAGTCTCTCTAGTTTGTTGTTTTTCCTCTGTGGTAACCCTTCAGCCAATACAAATGGTCTTGATAACCAAGCATCTCCCTTCCCCGCCACCCCACTGCAGTACTTGTTTAGAATTTGTGCATTCTTGCATGTGTGCCCTGATAAGTGCAGGGTTCAAGGTTTCACCGACGTTCTGATATTTGTAAAGTCACTGTGGTGAGGAACTACTCATTGGCTGACATCCATGTGCTTTGAACCGTTGAGTAAATCTTTGCTGCGTCATTTGTTTGCGTTTAGGGCAACACGCACTGCGCATCAGGGAGCCGGGTTCATGGCGCGTGTTTGAGACGCGGTTGCCGAGTCCAGCAGGGGGAGGGGGGGTGGGGTTTGCGGCAGATTGGGCGTTTTGAGCTGATGCTTCCTGTTTCTGAAGGTGTGTGTGTGCGTTCCCGTCTCTCCAGGCTGAAATGTCCAAGTACGACAAGATCTGCGAGGAGGCCTACGCCCGATCCAAGGATGAGAAAATCATGCATATTAAGCACTGGCTCGACTCGCCATGGCCTGGTGAGTGCTCTTGTGGGCCGAGGCGAGGCGTTGACCCATGGCAGGGGGGCCAGCAGTGGGTGAGGGTTAGGTTTGTGCCAGGGCTGGTGAGCGTTACAGTACAACTCGAGCCGGGTGCCTGCCCGCCTGCGGAAATGTGAAAGCAATGCTGGCATTTAGCTTCCCAGCCGTAGTTGGTGATGGTGGGTGCCCAGGATGGGGTGAGGAGGTGGCAGTGAGGGCAAATTCCGTAATTAGCAGTGTTGGGGGCTGTTGGCACAGACTGCCCCCTGGAAGACGGGCAGTGAGCAAGCTGACACCAGGGGAGCTCGGCGGGAGAGGACGGGGGGGTGTAGGACGGTTCGTTCAGGGTGCTGGGTGAACGGCCTTATTTTGGGCCCCCCCCCACAATATTGGGGGAGGGTCTTCCGCGCGTGCGCCCTATTGCTTCACTTCTGCTTCCACCCCCCTCCCCCCACTCCCTGTTCCCGCCTGCAGGTTTCTTCACCCTCGACGGGCAGCCGAAAAGCATGAAGTGCCCCTCTACGGGTCTGAGCGAGGAGACGCTGGCACATATCGGGAACGTGGCCAGCTCCGTACCAGTCGAGGACTTCACCATTCACGGAGGTAGATCGGAGCTCGGTTGGTGAGGCTTCCAGTCACCACCAGCAAACACGGCTGCGTGGCCCACACCGGTATTTTTGAGCGTCATCGGTGTGTGGGGTGAGGTGGTTTTGGGGGTTTAGAAAACGGGGTGACTGTTGAGCCTGTCACTGCTTACCCCGCTCCATGAGACAGCCCCCGCCTTGTGCCCTGACCTCCTGCAGCCACTGATGGTGCCAACCTCCCAGCTAAACCTGAAGGAACAGCGAGCCTCGGGAAGCGTGGCCCGATTTCTGCAGGCAGTGCTCCTCGGGCCACTAAGCGGACTTTTCTAACTCCGGTCCTTGATATCTGGGCGAGTAGGTGTGGCCATGGCTGGCCAGGCAAATTCTTGCCCACTTGACTTTGTTTCATTTCAGATCCTATCCCTCCACTGTCCAGTCTGATTTGCCCTTAACCCATCAGTCATAGAGTCACGCAGCACAGAAGCAGACCCTTCGGCCCAACTTGTCCATGCCCACCATTTCCAAACTGAACTAGTCCCATTGGCCTGCGCTTGGCCCATATCCTTCTAAACCCTTCCTGACCACGTACCTGTCCAAATGCCTTTTAAATGTCATAACTGTACCCGTCTCCTCCACTTCCTCTGGCAGTTCGTTCCACAGACTGTGTCAGAAAGTTGCCCCTCCGCTCCCTTTTAAATCTTTCCCCCTCACCTTAAACCTATGCCCTCTAGTTTTGGACACCCCTTGCCTGTTGGTTTAGTAGCGTTTTACATTTAAACCCCTTCAGACCATTTCTCTGTGTCACTTCTTGCAGACTGCTTCCCATTTCTTTTGTACCCCATTCCCTCCCCCCCCCCCCCCCCCCCCCGCCCCAGCCCCCCATTTATTCCCTTATGCTTCTCAACTTCAACACTGCATCTTCTCCTTTGGCTTAATCTTCTTCTTGGGTGACCACATTCTTCCTGTTGCTCCTCATCCCCAATTGGACATCTCCCATAAGCTTGAACACAGAGTCCCCACTTAAAGTTGAGGCTGTGTTCCCGAGATATGGTGACTGAGAGTGAGTCGTGGACTTCCATAGGAGTCCATGTTAAAGTCAGAGTTGGATTCTTGCAGACAATTCTCGCCCAGAAAGAAATAACATTCCCACTCATACTGTACTATTGTGCATCCCTAGCTGAAATAACTTCAAAATAAAATACGTTATGAAATATATTTTAAAAAACGCAACATAATATTTAAAAATGCGCTGGCTGCGTTGTATTTTTAAACAGACCAAGCTCCATCTAGTGGAGATAGCAGGAACTGCAGATGCTGGAGAATCCAAGGTGCAGAGCTGGATGAACACAGCAGGCCAAGCAGCATCAGAGGAGCAGGAAGGCTGACGTTTCGGGCCTAGACCCTTCTTCAG